GTGCAGACGGCCGCCCCCGGGCTCGTTTAAATCATTTGTCGCAATTTAATAGAATGAAAAATAAACATAAGCAACGCGAACGTTAATTACGCCGTTAATTATCCCCGCCGCGCTGAAGCTGCGCCAGGGAGGGCGGCCGGCACGACGACCCGACGGCGTAAGCTACGACGGTCTCGTCGCGCAAATTTTCCGAAAATTACTCGCGGAAAAGCGCGGCCGGCCGTTCATCACGAGGCGCCGTTTCTATCGCTTGAAAACCGGGTTTCGGACGCACCAACGTGACTCGCTATTTATGTTCACTTAATCGTAGCCCCCGTGTACGCTATCGTGTCCTTATCGTGTCCTTAATAGCAGGAAACGATTTGTCCGAGGCGAATGTCGTAACATTGCGGGAATTCTTCGCGCGCGTCGGGGCCGGTTCGAAAAACACCCGGATACGGGTGGAGGGTTAAAATCCGCCGGTGGGTCGGCATCTCGAGGAGCAAAAAAAAGATTTTACCATCAGGCCAACGTGGCGTTGGAATGTCGCCGCCGCCGACGACGACGACGACGACGGCAACGACGAAACGGAAACATGTGCCACGAAAGAGGACGGCTGCGCGGATCGAGGCAAGGTGAATAGAGACCGAAAAACAAAGAGGGTAAAAAAAGAGAAAGCGTCGAGGAGAGTGGAGAAAGGGGAGGAAGAGATGCCGCTGGAAAAATATAACCTGTTGGACCGCGAAAGAGCGAGAGGTAGCCACGTAGGCGCGACGGAGAGAACGAGAGGCTCGAGCGCGGCTAGAGTGAGAGAGAGAAACGGGAAAACCGTGGGATGGAAAGAGAGAGGGATAACACGGTAGAGCGACACGAACGTACGAGCGGCGGGCGAGTGAGCGAGTGAGCGAAACGATGACAGGAGAAGGGGAAGGACGAGGAGAGACGATAACAGGACGAGAATGCGCTGGGCTCGAAGGAGAAAGAAAGACATAGAGAGAGAAAGAGAAGGAGGGAGAGAGAAAGAGAAAGAAGGACGAGCACGCAGGCGTCCCGAACCTGCCTCAACTCCGACTCCGACTTTTGCGGTTCGATTCTGATCTGATCGATCTAGCCTCGTCGGAGCTAACCAGTCGCGAGTATTTGCACTCTGCTTTCGCTCCTCGGCGTTAACGTGTACTGTTTTTCTGCACGGGCGCTCCTCCGTCTGTCCTCCCACCTATCCTGTCCGCTCTTTTTCCCTTCTTCTCTCACTTTCTCGCGTAATCCCTACGTTGGCGTTTAATGAGATAACAGAGAAGCGCCGGACTGCGGCGGGAAGAAGAACGGCTTCTGTTTTTTTCGAAAGTCCGACGCGCGACCGCGTAATCGTCATACTCTCGGCATTGTGCTCGATCCGACATCATCCGCGGACGTTGTCCACACGTGGTCATTCGCGTGCACCCGCGCTCCACATCCTCGGCCGCGCATTTAGGTTTTCCCGTTTGCGCGTTCCGCGTTTCCCGCCGAGCGCGGCCATCCGTGAGTGCTGTTGGCGCAACACACGAGAAGACGGCATTTGATAATAACAGGGTCGGTTCGTGATGTAATCGCGATGGACGCTAAAAGCGGAGCTCTACCGTTGGTGGAGGTGCACTCTCCTGATACTCGTGTAATCGAAGTTCCGCGAGCTACAGATAAACGTACGAGAGAAGGGATTAAAATATTCGTGAAATCGAATGATATTGCGCGAGCGAGCGAGCGAGCGAGAAAAATACCCCGCGTATGAGAGATACGGCCGATGGAGTTTTTTTATTTTTCACGAGTGCCCTTCATCCAAATACCTGATTTCGACGAGAGGACCCCTCGCAAATTTTGCTCGTCCCACGGCGAAAATAACGGAACCCGGACTTGTGACCTGAGACGAAGATCCGTTTTTAGGTGCGATAACAATAGAGAGGCGGGACGAGAGTTTTGGCGAGCGAGAAGAGGAGAGAGAGAGGCAGAAGGGAGAGAGAGAAGGATATATCATTTAGAGAGGGTGTCATCGCAAGCAATTTACACCGCGCCGGGCACGTCGATCGATAAATTAACGAGGCGTGCTCGATACGCGTTCGCATTTTTATCGGTGCCCGTTTGTCGGAGCCGCGCGTTTCGACAGCTGTGTTATATTATCACACGGAAAATCGTATAGACGAATGTTCGGAAAGTTGTTAAGAGACGCGTCGCCGTTGGTAATTCGTTTCGGCGACGAGCGCTTTGGTCCCCTTTCGCGTCGATTTTACTTTTATCGGGCCGATAAACGCGCTGTTTTTAATCACGCACGCGATATGAACGAAGCTTAACAGCGGAGGACAATGACGCGGATGTTTCGGACTTTTTCAGCAATTCTGTTCCTTTGTATTATCGCTCGCTTTGCGCTCGTCGAGTTCGATTTAATTGGGAGTTTACTTCTTCGCGCGCACATGCGTGTATACGTGCGTGTATTACACATACACACACAAGTCGGCAGACTGGATATTTACGAGATGAATACGCTCGTTCGTGTATTAAATTAATATTAAAATATCTTCTTCGCCAACTTTTTAAATGTGATATCGTGCAGCATTACTCTCCCCCCCCCCTCTCTCTCTCTCTCTTTCTCTCTCTCTCTTCCTCACTCTCTTTCTCTGTCGTGTCTCATGAGTCACAGCATAATCACCGCAAATAATACTCTATCGTGCGTTTCATTTCAAGGATGATTTACCGAATTTATCGTTACATACCGCGATATTGTTGCCGCGCGCCCGGCACCACGAAGGAGTCACATCAGCGCAAATTATAATCCGTGCGCGCGCGTTACCGAGCGAGGCTCACGGATGGACTTGGAATGGAATCGCGCACGGCGGCTAATCGAAGGAAATGTTCGCGAGCACGTGCGCGCGCGAATCGAGAACGCGCCTCTCATCGTGCGAGCGCGCGCGCGCGCGCGCGATCCGGGGATTATCTGTCTCTCGCGCAGATAGTACGTAGGCCTAATCTGGCGCGGTCGCGTTGCCAACGAGGAGCGAGTGAAAAAAAAAGTCCGGCGATAAGTGCGATCCGATTGAGTTCGTCATTGACAACGAGCGCGGCGCGAACTGCGCGATTCGCGCCGGATGTATGTCAGCGAGATTCACGCGCGATGTACTACATACATCCGCGACGCGAATCCATGGAAGTGGAAATTATTTGCTTACGATACACCAGGCGAACTTAAAGAGGCGATCGCTGACCTCTCCGTATGTGTGTGTCAAGCGTGCGCATTAATGATGATGTGTGACGTCTTTTGTACTACCGATGTGCGCGTTGCTGCATTGCCTTGTTCAGAGACGCGCAGTCCGCGGGGGGAATTTTATTATAAAAATTATTGCAGGGCTTTGCAACCGATTGATAGGTTGGCAATCTCTGCAATAATTCTGTAATGTTTTTCGTTTCATATGCGCTACACATATCTTTTAGCAACTGTGGAATGTGCTATTGAAATACTTGTTACGTTTTTAGCGAGATGTTTTTAATGGAACTTACGACGTTTCTTAGCAAGATAGGTCATACTGACACATTGAGAAAAAATGTTTGTAACTATAATCGCACAGAGAACTAATTACTACTAATTATGGCCAAGAAAACCATTTCTTTTGTTAAATTCTATTATAATGTTAGATAAGAACCTTGTATGCATGTTACTATTACCATTTTCGTGTTACAACAAGCAGAAAGTGCAATTGTGGTAAAAAAACAACTACAATTCTAGTTATATAAATTAACCATTTTTTTCTTTTAATGCAGTCTACTCCTGGAGTCTACTAAAGATATAGCAAATTTGAAACGAATTTCTATATGAAAAAAGAAACTATTCTCTGCGTGTGGTAAAATATAAGAGCACTAATAAAATTGTCCTTCGATGATCAGGAGAAGCAATTTACGTTACGCCTGTAATAATTATCATATTACATTTTACCTTTGTCTACTTTCTTAATTAATTTTACGACGCGCAATATAACCGGATTATCTAATCTATTTTTTTTAACAATATAAACCGTTTCGATGAATCTCGTGGAATTCCGAGATATACTTTTTTTATCGATTACGGTCTCGCGCAAACGTGTGGATCGGTTAGGGGATTCGGAGAGGACACGTGACGAATCGAGTCAAATTAACGAGCGCTGTCTTACGCGGTGAAAAAATATTCTCCGAAAGCGTACTCACGAGAGTCCGGTTTGAATCGCACGAAGGCACAATGAGATGCGGATAGGAAAAACCCGGGGAAAAAGTATAACGGGTCGCCGGGACGTAACTGCGAGCAATTTAGCGCGCGTAACGCGTGACGGGCTTTTGGGGGACGAGCGGCACGGGAAAAATTTTTCGAACTCGGTGCACTTTCGGCCTCACCTCATCATGACGTCGCCGCCGCCGATGGGATTTACACAACTCTTTCAATTAAAACTTTTCCGCAGTTTATCTTCCCGCGCGCGCGCGCACCGAAAAAAAATTAGGTTCCGCGCGCGCAGGTAACGAGTTCCGGAACGGTGCGCCGTGTTCTCGAGCTTTTCGAACTCGCTCTCTTTCTCTCTCCCCCCTCCTCTCTCTATTTCTCCTCCTCGTAAACTCGGCAAAAATCGTCGTACTGCGTGCGGTCTTACTCGATACATTGAAATCGAATTCGTCGTCAAGGTCAACGCGATATAAGCGGATGCATCTTTTTTCGCGTCTGTCTCTCCCCCTACCTGAAGTCGCGGTTGTCGCGCGAATTTGAACTTTAGCCTTGAACTCGTTTTATTTCGCGCGATGGCTTAAAGTTTCCCGTGCGTGGCCGATAAATCGGCCAAAGCGTCGAACTTGGCGCTGTCTCGTACGCGGCTTGTTCGCCGCGCGAAATCGAGCGGTGGGAAGAAGTACCGATATATCACGTGGCCGTATGTACGCGCGGCTTGTACGTTTGTGTGCGTGCGTACGCGTGAGTGTACGTGTGCGCGTGTCTATATGTAAATATATACGCTTATGTGTACAAATCATGGACTACTCACCTTATGGTGCTGCATGATGGCAGTGGACTTTCGCTTCGCAGACATATTCAGTTCGCCGGAGTGTCCTCTCTGCTCCCCTTCGGAGCGGGAAATATTCACCTCGTCGTCGGTTTATCCGCGGCCTGTCCGGACTGTCTGTCTCCTGCGATCCTTTTCCTTCTCTGTGTGTCTCCTGTCCCTACTCCCCCTATCTCTTCTCTTCCTTCTACTTTGTAGGCCCCCTTCCCTCTTCTCTCTATTTTTCTCCTCTACTGACGACCCATAGGCGTCCACCTAAAGGCACGGCGACGATCACGAGAAACACAAAGGAAGAAGGGGGGAGGTTGGCGATGAGTGCACGCGGTGCGTTACTCTGTCTCCTTTTCTTTCACTCCTTCTATCTTTCTTGTCCTCCCGTCCCACGTCGTTTTTGTCGTTTCCTCTTTTGTCTTCTTTCTTCGCTTCTGACGACTTCCTGCGACGCGTAGAACGATCCTCCTCCTGTTACGCCAAGTACGTAGGGAACGAGGTGTACCTCCAGAAGCAGGAACGAACAGAGTACGTCGTTCCAGTAAACTTTTCCGTAGTGTCGTGTTTTCTGTCTTTCTGTCTTTCTCGCCTTTTCTTTCTCACTTACTCTGTCACGCTGTCTCTCTCTCTCTCTCTCTCTCTCTCTCTCTCTCTGCCTTTCTTACGCCGCACGCGCGCGCGCGGTCGCACTCTGTCCCACCTTGCGTTCGCGAACTTTAAGCTCACCCCCCGCGCACACCACACCACACGGCGGCGCCACAAAAGTTCCGCGATAAAAGCCCGCGCGCAGTTAGTTGTTGCCGCAGGTGTCGGCGCCGCGCGAAATTAAAACAACTCCGCGCGCGTCCAAAACAGCCGGAGGAATACGGTCAAATATTTGACCGGAAAAAGTACGTTCCGTCTTGTTCGTGTCTTTCTCACCTGTCTCACCTTTTTATCAATCTCTTCGTCTATTTCTCCTCTGTACCTCACGCACCTCCTCTCAGCTTTTACCGTCTTTCCTCGTCTCTTTTGTCCTCGCGTCACGATATGATAAGCGCGCTCTCAACGCAGCAACTCGGCAAAGTCCATCAAGCCGGTGAGACGGAACGATCAGCTGGACCGTCCGATCTTTGCGTCATCCCGATCGAAAAGATGAAACGCACCTCGTCAAATAAATTTCCAACTTGTATCAATATACGAAACGCTTCGCTCGAGCCGACTGTTCACTCACGAATATGGACGAGAAAAACAAGTGAAGTTTCACCGAGCGGTAGACCCTTGCACACGTCACGTCCTCGTGTTCGGGAGTTAAATCGCCGCCCGTTTGTCGGTTGCGGCGCGATCGACAAAATTGCACCGAATGCTCTCGCGGTCCGGTTGCAAGCTCTAGGTACTATCCCGTCAGAAGTACTCGGGATCGAGTGAAGCAACTGTACGCGTTGCAACCTTCCGTTCTCTGTCTCGTCACAGGCAGGACTGAAGTTGCTTCCCGTTCATCGACAGGTATACAGAACGTCCTCACCACACGAACGCTCACGGCGAACTGGCGATTGGCGACGCGGCGACGACCTCCTCCCCTCTCCGCACCGTCACCACCACTACTACGTCGCGTCCCCCCTCCCCTCTCCGGTGTCCTCACTGCCTCACCCCAGTCCAACAGCAGAGAGAGCCTCACACTACCGCGCTTCACCCATACCCCACTCCCTTGCCGTCAACCCACCCTCCCCACCTTCCGTCGGTCCCTCCCGCCCTCCCGCGAACTCCCCTCACCCATTCCTCCGACGACCCGCACCGTTCTCTCACTCCCCAGCGGCCCTCTTCGAGCGCGTCAACCCCCCTCAGTCCCTCGACCCCCTAGCTCGCCGTAGCCGTCTCTCCTCGTCTCCGTTTCTCTCTCGCTTTCTCTCTATATATATATATATCCTTCTGTACCTATCTCTCTCGTTACTGCTCTTCGTCCCGGCGCCCTCGTCGGCTCCCCCTCGACCCTCGACCCTCCCCATCGGTGCGGTGGCGGCGGCGGCGGTGGCGGCGGTAAGGTAGGGTCTGTCACCGTCAGAACATCGAGGGGGCCGCTGGACGAGTAACTTGGGGGGGAAAGCGAGGGGGAGGGCTGTTTCAAAGGGGCGTAAGGGGCCGCTGTCGGGTATCCGGCGACGCGGAGAGGGGGAGCGACGAGGGAACGGGCGGCAGGGACCTTTCCGGACGGCGAGGGCAGGGCGGCGGGGGGTGACACAGCGTAGCGAGGGGCCAAGGGGCGCCAACGCTCATCGGCCGAAGGGGCTTCCACGGGTGTGTTAGGCTTGTGCTTAGAAGGGTATGTGCCCACCGCTTTGCTCCTCTAGTGTACATGTGCGCGCTGCTACGTGGACGTACGGTATCCACGGCTCTCTGTGTGTCTCTCTCTCTGTCTCTCTCTTTCTCTCTTGGTCTCTTTCTCTTTCCCTCTCTCTCTCTCTCTCTCTCTCTGGTCGGCCTTCGTCTATTCGAGTGTGTTGCGCTCTACCTATTTCACTCTGTCTCCCTCTCTCTTTCCCACTCTCGCCTTGTCCGTCTCCTTCCTACTCTCGTCGTCTCCTCCTCATGCCGGACTCCGTCCTTTGCACCATACTGTCACGCCAGTGTGCCACTACCGGCGATACGTAACGCCGCCGTGGCTTTGCCGCGGTACTTGAGAGACGTAAGTTACGCGGCACCTCCGACGAGAGTGGTCCCTCCCGTCTCTACCTGGCTGCTTGCCTGCCGCTTGCTCGCTCGCTCGCTTGCTTGCTTTCCTGCCCGCTTGCCTGCGTGCGACCTGGGCGAAAGAGCACGCCGAACGGGTTTGCTTGCCCGATGTGCATGTATTTTTTCAGGGGGAGCCTCTCTCCGCTTAAGCCTTCCGTATTATTAGCTCGTCGTCGTCGTCGTCGTCCTCCTCCTCCTCCTCCTCCTCCTTCTCCTCCTCCTCCTTCCCTTCCTCCTCCTCCTCCTCCTCCTCGTCCTCCTCCTCGTCGTGGTCGTTGTCGTGCCACCGGCCTGGGTTAATACCGGTATCGGCGATCTACGCGCAAATAACAGTGGTCTACGCGCAGAATATCCTTTTGCGCGTAATCCGAGCGATCTGAGTGGTCAAAATCGTTGGCTGCACGTTTTTCTTGCTGCTGTTGTTGTTGTTAGACCGCTTAGATTATAAGGCAACCGGTGGTCTACATCATTCACGCGTAGATTGTACAGGTGGATGCCGACATTTGCTAATACTTCCGCGGCGTGCTCCATCGGGTGGCGGACATGGGCGAAGTGCGATAATGATAATGCGTCGAACGAGATCGATTTTCAGATACGCGCTCCTATCCTGGCACGTTTATCTTTTATTTTCGGGATATCTCTCCGCCGCGCTTTCTCTCACTCTCTCTCTCTCTCTCTCTCTCTCTCTCTCTGTCTCTCCTGAGTCTTCTGTATTATTAAGCGATCGTCGCGCTATCAGTCCGGATTAATACTCCGTTTACGGCCGAAGCGGACGCGTGCCAACTCCAATAATTATAATATCGAGACGGAACGATTTTCAAACGACGCGCGCGCCCACCCGTTCTCACCGTAGCCACGGCCTCAGATTCGCGGCCTCAGATTCCGATCTACGTGACGAATGCATCGTTAAAAAGTATGTTCGAGAACGAGAGCGCGCGAGATGGCGGGAGGAGGGGCATGGCCGCGGAGAGGCATGGTTCGCTCGTCTCTTCTGCATTTCGCACGTTGGATGGCCGTGCAATAACGTTCAATAGGGCACCACGTGTGTCACGGGGCGTTTTCGTGAACGGAACGAGCCACACGCCGCCTTTACGGCACTACGTGAAAGGATTCGCGTAAACTTGGAAGACTTCGGTAATTCCCCGATGAGATCACGACTTCCCTTTGCTGTAAATCCAAGACGCGACCGCAGTCAGTCAATCGCACCTCCCTCCCTCTCTCTCCCTCTCTCGTTCGTCAGGTCAGGTCAAGTACGAGCAAAGCTGCGGAAAATTCGCGTTTCCTACGAAATGCACGTAAAGTCACCAAGAGTTATTATTATTATTATTATTATTATTATTATTATTATTATTATTATTATTATTATTACTGCAACTACCACCATTATCACCACTACTTCTAGCTGCTACTTCTACCTACTACTACTACGGTGAATCTTCGCGCGCACAACTCGAGTTTTGCAAAACTCCGTCCGAGATTCCGCTTGTGATCGAGGTGGAAGCGCGGAACAGTTATTCGCCGATCGTAATCGCACGAACAAGCGCGATTTTTCTCACGGCGCGCAGCGATGGAGTAATTAACGCGGTCGATCGAAGCGTCGGCTGCGCCGAGACAACGCATTGGTATATTTCATCAAGCTGTACGTAACATTGACCCCTCACAATCCAAAGTTGAATCTACATCGACGTCGCGTTTCATTCTATCGGATTCTCCATAAGACAAATTTTAATGCCATTATAATAAATTTTATTTCTTATATAATGACACGCTATATATGAGTTATTCAAGAACAAAGCATTTCCTGGAATATTAGTTAACGTGAACCGTCTCTGTGCATAAGATACACAATATTGATCCACGCCATCTAGCAGCGGTGCAAACCGCCCTGACGAAAAATATCGTGCCCGAGAAGCGCCATGGGTGAGGGTGACTTCGGAAATCGCATGAGAATCGCATGATCCCCAGATGAGGTCTCTCTCATAATCCCGACAAGGCCGCGTTGTCGTTGGGATTACTATGCGACGAGAGTACGTGGACGTGCGGGTAAACGACGGCTATGACGTAGCAGTGACCTCATAAAAGGCCCTGCAGGATAGTCTTAAGGGAAGTGGCCAAGTTATCGGGCTGGCGTCGTAAAATACTTTTTCTCTCGACTTTACGACGGTTATACCTCGCGCACAGACGTCCTCGGGGCTCCACCTGTCCGCTCGACTTCCTTCAAAAAGACCATCCTTTTATTGGCCGGCCCGGTACTTTATTTACGACGTCTTCTGCGCGAACTACCTTCCTCTTTTCCGACCTTTCTAATTCGCTGTACCTGCTTCTCTTTCCCTTTTCTCTCGGCCTTTCGGGAAAGAATGGAGCAACCGCAACGGCGACGAAGCTCGAACTTGTCGGGGCTAACGGCGTTTTCAACAATGAATGAATTGAACGTGCGTAACATACGTGTTAATCAAACAAATGGACTGAATGCGCGCGTGAGTACACCAGCTCATCCCCGCCGTCGTCGTATAGAAAGTAATATCGCCGGCTTGTCAATTGAAAAGTCGAAAGCGCGGGAAGAAAAAACACGAGCGTGTTTCCCTTCACTGGTGGAGCCTTAAAGGGATTATTTCTAATTCCTTCACGTCGATGGGGTGAACCTTTACCCCTTATCGCGCGGCCGTACGCGATAACGATCTAAGCAACAGTTTGCTTCGACGGTGGGTAGGGAAACTTCGGGACACGAGGGCCGTAAAAAAGCTTAAAACTTTCCGGCGAAAGTGCAATCTCTCGCCGATTCGATACGCGGTGGGACGATCCGCGCGCCGGACTTCGACAGGCTGCCGTGATCGCGATTTCTGCAATCGTCGTTATTCTCATTATCAGCGTTGTAATCATCCTTATCGCCGGCGTTATCGGTCCGCCGTAGGATATCGCGCAGACTACCGCGCGGAACTAATAGAAAAAAAGAAAAGGTGAGACAGAGAGATGCAGAAGGAGAGAGTTAGAGAGAGAGAGAGAGAGAGAGAGAAAGCGACTGCTAACTTAATATATCACGAAAACTTCTCATAACGCGGTAAATTAGATTCCTCCTTTCTCGTTTCCACGTCGGACTCGCGACGGCATATTATCGACTTGATTAGTAACTCGTCATTAACTCTACTCGCCAACGCGTCTCGTCCGCTGGTCCCTTTATTTGCGGCGGCGTTAATCCGCCCGTTACAAGGCAGTGGAATCATACGGCCGTGTTTAACGCCAAGCTAGCGGCCTGTGTGATGACTACCTCGAAGCGAGAGAGCTTCTCGCTCTCTCCCTTCTTCTTTCCGTCTCTCTACCTGCGTACACGCATCGACTGCGACGTTGTCATTGTCATCGTCGTAGTCACCGTCGCCATCGCCGTCATCGCCGTCATCGTCGTCGTCGTCGTCGTCGTCGTCGTCGTCGTCGTCGTCGTCGTCGTCGTCGTTTTCGTCATCGTCGTCGTCGTCGTCGTCGTCGTCGTCGTCGTCGCCGCCGTCGTCGTCGTCTCCAACGACGAACAAAGTCCACTTCGGCATTAGACACCCTTGGTTTCTGAAGCCTCGGGCGGTAGTCCCCCTACTCTTTGCCGGCACCCCTATGGATCTCTCTAGCCGAGCCACCCTCTCCCTCCCTCGTGGCAAGACCCTTTCTACCCCTGCCCCCTCCCGCCAACCCCCTGCCGCTCCCCCTCGGGCATCCGCCCGCACCCTCCTCAGCCTCCCACCGCCTTCGCTACCTTCACCCTAACCCTCCGTTCCTCCTCTCCGCTCCTCTCCTCTTCTCTCCTTCAGTCCATTCCCTCCTCCGTCTATGTTTCTCGTTCCCTAG